GGATGTGTATTCACATATTGATGTGTCTCTCAGACTACTGCTGCAGTGGATGTGTATTTACATGTTGAAGTGTCTCTCAGACTACTGCTGCAGTGGATGTGTATTCACATGTTGATGTGTCTCTCAGACTGCTGCTGCAGTGGATGTGTATTCACATGTTGATGTGTCTCTCATGTACTGCAGTGGATGTGTATTTACATGTTGATGTGTCTCTCAGACTACTGCTGCAGTGGATGTGTATTCACATGTTGATGTGTCTCTCAGACTACTGCTGCAGTGGATGTGTATTTACATATTGATGTGTCTCTCAGACTACTGCTGCAGTGGATGTGTATATACATATTGATGTGTCTCTCAGACTACTGCTGCAGTGGATGTGTATTTACATGTTGATGTGTCTCTCAGACTACTGCTGCAGTGGATGTGTATTTACATGTTGATGTGTCTCTCAGACTACTGCTGCAGTGGATGTATATTCACATGTTGATGTGTCTCTCAGACTACTGCTGCAGTCGGTGTGTATTCACATGTTGATGTGTCTCTCAGACTACTGCTGCAGTGGATGTGTATTTACATGTTGATGTGTCTCTCATGTACTGCAGTGGATGTGTATTCACATGTTGATGTGTCTCTCAGACTACTGCTGCAGTGGATTTTGTTAACATGTTGATGTGTCTCTCAGACTACTGCTGCAGTGGGTGTGTATTTACATGTTGATGTGTCTCTCAGACTACTGCTGCAGTGGATGTGTATTTACATGTTGATGTGTCTCTCATGTACTGCAGTGGATGTGTATTCACATGTTGATGTGTCTCTCAGACTACTGCTGCAGTGGATTTTGTTAACATGTTGATGTGTCTCTCAGACTACTGCTGCAGTGGATTTTGTTAACATATTCATATGTCTCTCAGACTACTGCTGCAGTGGGTGTGTATTTACATATTGATGTGTCTCTCAGACTACTGCTGCAGTGGATGTGTATTTACATGTTGATGTGTCTCTCATGTACTGCAGTGGATGTGTATTCACATGTTGATGTGTCTCTCAGACTACTGCTGCAGTGGATTTTGTTAACATATTGATGTGTCTCTCAGACTACTGCTGCAGTGGATGTGTATTCACATGTTGATGTGTCTCTCATGTACTGCAGTGGATGTGTATTCACATGTTGATGTGTCTCTCAGACTGCTGCTGCAGTGGATGTGTATTCACATGTTGATGTGTCTCTCAGACTACTGCTGCAGTGAATGTGTATTTACATGTTGATGTGTCTCTCAGACTACTGCTGCAGTGGGTGTGTATTCACATGTTGATGTGTCTCTCATGTACTGCAGTGGATGTGTATTCACATGTTGATGTGTCTCTCAGACTACTGCTGCAGTGGATGTGTATTTACATGTTGATGTGTCTCTCAGACTACTGCTGCAGTGGATGTGTATTTACATGTTGATGTGTCTCTCATGTACTGCAGTGGATGTGTATTCACATGTTGATGTGTCTCTCAGACTACTGCTGCAGTGGATTTTGTTAACATGTTGATGTGTCTCTCAGACTTCTGCTGCAGTGGGTGTGTATTTACATGTTGATGTGTCTCTCAGACTACTGCTGCAGTGGATGTGTATTTACATGTTGATGTGTCTCTCATGTACTGCAGTGGATGTGTATTCACATGTTGATGTGTCTCTCAGACTACTGCTGCAGTGGATTTTGTTAACATGTTGATGTGTCTCTCAGACTACTGCTGCAGTGGATTTTGTTAACATATTCATGTGTCTCTCAGACTACTGCTGCAGTGGATGTGTATTCACATGTTGATGTGTCTCTCATGTACTGCAGTGGATGTGTATTCACATGTTGATGTGTCTCTCAGACTGCTGCTGCAGTGGATGTGTATTCACATGTTGATGTGTCTCTCAGACTACTGCTGCAGTGAATGTGTATTCACATGTTGATGTGTCTCTCAGACTACTGCTGCAGTGGGTGTGTATTCACATGTTGATGTGTCTCTCATGTACTGCAGTGGATGTGTATTCACATGTTGATGTGTCTCTCAGACTACTGCTGCAGTGGATGTGTATTCACATGTTGATGTGTCTCTCATGTACTGCAGTGGATGTGTATTCACATGTTGATGTGTCTCTCAGACTGCTGCTGCAGTGGATGTGTATTCACATGTTGAGGTGTCTCTCAGACTACTGCTGCAGTGGATGTGTATTCACATGTTGATGTGTCTCTCAGACTGCTGCTGCAGTGGATGTGTATTTACATGTTGAAGTGTCTCTCAGACTACTGCTGCAGTGGATGTGTATTCACATGTTGATGTGTCTCTCAGACTGCTGCTGCAGTGGATGTGTATTCACATGTTGATGTGTCTCTCATGTACTGCAGTGGATGTGTATTTACATGTTGATGTGTCTCTCAGACTACTGCTGCAGTGGATGTGTATTTACATGTTGTGTCTCTCAGACTACTGCTGCAGTGGATGTGTATTCACATGTTGATGTGTCTCTCAGACTACTGCTGCAGTGGATCTATATTAATATGTTGATGTGTCTCTCAGACTACTGCTGCAGTGGATGTGTATTCACATGTTGATGTGTCTCTCAGACTGCTGCTGCAGTGGATGTGTATTCACATGTTGATGTGTCTCTCAGACTGCTGCTGCAGTGGATGTGTATTCACATATTGATGTGTCTCTCAGACTACTGCTGCAGTGGATGTGTATTTACATGTTGAAGTGTCTCTCAGACTACTGCTGCAGTGGATGTGTATTCACATGTTGATGTGTCTCTCAGACTGCTGCTGCAGTGGATGTGTATTCACATGTTGATGTGTCTCTCATGTACTGCAGTGGATGTGTATTTACATGTTGATGTGTCTCTCAGACTACTGCTGCAGTGGATGTGTATTCACATGTTGATGTGTCTCTCAGACTACTGCTGCAGTGGATGTGTATTTACATATTGATGTGTCTCTCAGACTACTGCTGCAGTGGATGTGTATATACATATTGATGTGTCTCTCAGACTACTGCTGCAGTGGATGTGTATTTACATGTTGATGTGTCTCTCAGACTACTGCTGCAGTGGATGTGTATTTACATGTTGATGTGTCTCTCAGACTACTGCTGCAGTGGATGTATATTCACATGTTGATGTGTCTCTCAGACTACTGCTGCAGTCGGTGTGTATTCACATGTTGATGTGTCTCTCAGACTACTGCTGCAGTGGATGTGTATTTACATGTTGATGTGTCTCTCATGTACTGCAGTGGATGTGTATTCACATGTTGATGTGTCTCTCAGACTACTGCTGCAGTGGATTTTGTTAACATGTTGATGTGTCTCTCAGACTACTGCTGCAGTGGGTGTGTATTTACATGTTGATGTGTCTCTCAGACTACTGCTGCAGTGGATGTGTATTTACATGTTGATGTGTCTCTCATGTACTGCAGTGGATGTGTATTCACATGTTGATGTGTCTCTCAGACTACTGCTGCAGTGGATTTTGTTAACATGTTGATGTGTCTCTCAGACTACTGCTGCAGTGGATTTTGTTAACATATTCATATGTCTCTCAGACTACTGCTGCAGTGGGTGTGTATTTACATATTGATGTGTCTCTCAGACTACTGCTGCAGTGGATGTGTATTTACATGTTGATGTGTCTCTCATGTACTGCAGTGGATGTGTATTCACATGTTGATGTGTCTCTCAGACTACTGCTGCAGTGGATTTTGTTAACATATTGATGTGTCTCTCAGACTACTGCTGCAGTGGATGTGTATTCACATGTTGATGTGTCTCTCATGTACTGCAGTGGATGTGTATTCACATGTTGATGTGTCTCTCAGACTGCTGCTGCAGTGGATGTGTATTCACATGTTGATGTGTCTCTCAGACTACTGCTGCAGTGAATGTGTATTTACATGTTGATGTGTCTCTCAGACTACTGCTGCAGTGGGTGTGTATTCACATGTTGATGTGTCTCTCATGTACTGCAGTGGATGTGTATTCACATGTTGATGTGTCTCTCAGACTACTGCTGCAGTGGATGTGTATTTACATGTTGATGTGTCTCTCAGACTACTGCTGCAGTGGATGTGTATTTACATGTTGATGTGTCTCTCATGTACTGCAGTGGATGTGTATTCACATGTTGATGTGTCTCTCAGACTACTGCTGCAGTGGATTTTGTTAACATGTTGATGTGTCTCTCAGACTACTGCTGCAGTGGGTGTGTATTTACATGTTGATGTGTCTCTCAGACTACTGCTGCAGTGGATGTGTATTTACATGTTGATGTGTCTCTCATGTACTGCAGTGGATGTGTATTCACATGTTGATGTGTCTCTCAGACTACTGCTGCAGTGGATTTTGTTAACATGTTGATGTGTCTCTCAGACTACTGCTGCAGTGGATTTTGTTAACATATTCATGTGTCTCTCAGACTACTGCTGCAGTGGATGTGTATTCACATGTTGATGTGTCTCTCATGTACTGCAGTGGATGTGTATTCACATGTTGATGTGTCTCTCAGACTGCTGCTGCAGTGGATGTGTATTCACATGTTGATGTGTCTCTCAGACTACTGCTGCAGTGAATGTGTATTCACATGTTGATGTGTCTCTCAGACTACTGCTGCAGTGGGTGTGTATTCACATGTTGATGTGTCTCTCATGTACTGCAGTGGATGTGTATTCACATGTTGATGTGTCTCTCAGACTACTGCTGCAGTGGATGTGTATTCACATGTTGATGTGTCTCTCATGTACTGCAGTGGATGTGTATTCACATGTTGATGTGTCTCTCAGACTGCTGCTGCAGTGGATGTGTATTCACATGTTGAGGTGTCTCTCAGACTACTGCTGCAGTGGATGTGTATTCACATGTTGATGTGTCTCTCAGACTGCTGCTGCAGTGGATGTGTATTCACATGTTGATGTGACTCTCAGACTACTGCTGCAGTGGATGTGTATTAACATGTTGATGTGTCTCTCAGACTACTGCTGCAGTGACAGAGGCGGTGCCAGAAGACAACAACCAGCTTCCTACTGAAACCTCTCCCATCCCAGAGCCCCTGGAGACTGTTGCTAAGGGCGGGGAGGACAAGGATGTGCAAGTAGAAGTGACATCAATCCCTGCTGCTGGAAGTGGCCCTGTGCCCCCTCAAAATAGACAGGCCCCGTTACAGGTGGGTGGTCCAGTGCCCCCTCAACATAGACAGGCTCCTTTACAGGTGGGTGGTCCAGTGCCCCCTCAACATAGACAGGCTCCTTTACAGGTGGGCGGTCCAGTGCCCCCTCCACATAGACTGGCCCCGTTACAGGTGGGTGGTCCAGTGCCCCCTCAACATAGACTGGCCCCGTTACAGGTGGGTGGTCCAGTGCCCCCTCCACATAGACTGGCCCCGTTACAGGTGGGTGGTCCAGTGCCCCCTCAACATAGACAAGCCCCGTTACAGGTGGGTGGTCCAGTGCCCCCTCCACATAGACAAGCCCCGTTACAGGTGGGTGGTCCAGTGCCCCCTCCACATAGACTCGCCCCGTTACAGGTGGGTGGTCCAGTGCCCCCTCAACATAGACAAGCACCGTTACAGGTGGGTGGTCCAGTGCCCCCTCCACATAGACTGGCCCTGTTACAGGTGGGTGGTCCAGTGCCCCCTCAACATAGACAGGCCCCGTTACAGGTGGGTGGTCCAGTGCCCCCTCCACATAGACTGGCCCCGTTACAGGTGGGTGGTCCAGTGCCCCCTCAACATAGACAAGCCCCGTTACAGGTGGGTGGTCCAGTGCCCCCTCCACATAGACAGGCCCCGTTACAGGTGGGTGGTCCAGTGCCCCCTCAACATAGACAGGCCCCGTTACAGGTGGATGGTCCAGTGCCCCCTTCACATAGACAAGCCCTGTTACAGGTGGGTGGTCCAGTGCCCCCTCAACATAGACTGGCCCTGTTACAGGTGGGTGGTCCAGTGCCCCCTCCACATAGACTGGCCCCGTTACAGGTCGGTGGTCCAGTGCCCCCTCAACATAGACAAGCCCTGTTACAGGTGGGTGGTCCAGTGCCCCCTCAACATAGACAGGCCCCGTTACAGGTGGGTGGTCCAGTGCCCCCTTCACATAGACAAGCCCTGTTACAGGTGGGTGGTCCAGTGCCCCCTTCACATAGACAAGCCCCGTTACAGGTGGGTGGTCCAGTGCCCCCTTCACATAGACAAGCCCTGTTACAGGTGGATGGTCCAGTGCCCCATCAACATAGACATGCCAAATTACAGGTGTCCAATTACGTGGTGGGTGGTCCAGTGCCCCCTCAACATAGACAAGCCCTGTTACAGGTGGGTGGTCCAGTGCCCCCTCCACATAGACAGGCCCCGTTACAGGTGGGTGGTCCAGTGCCCCCTCCACATAGACTGGCCCCGTTACAGGTGGGTGGTCCAGTGCCCCATCAACATAGACATGCCAAATTACAGGTGTCCAATTACGTGGTGGGTGGTCCAGTGCCCCCTCAACATAGACAGGCCCCGTTACAGGTGGGTGGTCCAGTGCCCCCTCCCCATAGACTGGCCCCATTACAGGTGGATGGTCCAGTGCCCCCTCAACATAGACAAGCCCTGTTACAGGTGGGTGGTCCAGTGCCCCCTCCACATAGACTGGCCCCGTTACAGGTGGGTGGTCCAGTGCCCCCTCCACATAGACTGGCCCCGTTACAGGTGGCTGGTCCAGTGCCCCCTCCACATAGACAGGCTCCTTTACAGGTGGGTGGTCCAGTGCCCCCTCCACATAGACTGGCCCCGTTACAGGTGGGTGGTCCAGTGCCCCCTTCACATAGACAAGCCCTGTTACAGGTGGGTGGTCCAGTGCCCCCTCCACATAGACATGCCCCGTTACAGGTGGGTGGTCCAGTGCCCCCTCCACATAGACAGGCTCCTTTACAGGTGGGTGGTCCAGTGCCCCCTCCACATAGACTGGCCCCGTTACAGGTGGGTGGTCCAGTGCCCCCTCCACATAGACAGGCTCCTTTACAGGTGGGTGGTCCAGTGCCCCCTCCACATAGACTGGCCCCGTTACAGGTGGGTGGTCCAGTGCCCCCTCCACATAGACTGGCCCTGTTACAGGTGGCTGGTCCAGTGCCCCCTCAACATAGACAGGCCCCGTTACAGGTGGGTGGTCCAGTGCCCCCTACCCATAGACAGGCCCTGTTACAGGTGGGTGGTCCAGTGCCCCCTCCAGGTAGACTGGCCCCATTACAGATGGATGGTCCAGTGCCCCCTCAACATAGACAAGCCCTGTTACAGGTGGCTGGTCCAGTGCCCCCTCCACATAGACATGCCAAATTACAGGTGTCCAATTACGTGGTGGGTGGTCCAGTGCCCCCTCCACATAGACAGGCTCCTTTACAGGTGGATGGTCCAGTGCCCCCTCCACATAGACTGGCCCCGTTACAGGTGGGTGGTCCAGTGCCCCCTCCACATAGACTGGCCCTGTTACAGGTGGCTGGTCCAGTGCCCCCTCAACATAGACAGGCCCCGTTACAGGTGGGTGGTCCAGTGCCCCCTCCCCATAGACAGGCCCTGTTACAGGTGGGTGGTCCAGTGCCCCCTCCAGGTAGACTGGCCCCATTACAGATGGATGGTCCAGTGCCCCCTCAACATAGACAAGCCCTGTTACAGGTGGCTGGTCCAGTGCCCCCTCCACATAGACATGCCAAATTACAGGTGTCCAATTACGTGGTGGGTGGTCCAGTGCCCCCTCCACATAGACAGGCTCCTTTACAGGTGGATGGTCCAGTGCCCCCTCCACATAGACTGGCCCCGTTACAGGTGGGTGGTCCAGTGCCCCCTCCACATAGACTGGCCCTGTTACAGGTGGCTGGTCCAGTGCCCCCTCAACATAGACAGGCCCCGTTACAGGTGGGTGGTCCAGTGCCCCCTCCCCATAGACAGGCCCTGTTACAGGTGGGTGGTCCAGTGCCCCATCAACATAGACATGCCAAATTACAGATGGATGGTCCAGTGCCCCCTCAACATAGACAAGCCCTGTTACAGGTGGCTGGTCCAGTGCCCCCTCCACATAGACATGCCAAATTACAGGTGTCCAATTACGTGGTGGGTGGTCCAGTGCCCCCTCCACATAGACCGGCCCTGTTACAGGTGGATGGTCCAGTGCCCCCTCCTCATAGACCGGCCCTGTTACAGGTGGGTGGTCCAGTGCCCCCTCAACATTGACATGCACCTTTACAGGTGGGTGGTCCAGTGCTCCCTCCACATAAACAGGCCCCATTACCGGTGGGTGGTCCAGTGCCCCCTCCCCATAGACAAGCACCGTTTCAGGTGAATGGTCCAGTGACCCCTCAACACAGACCGGCCCCGTTACAGGTGGGTGGTCCAGTGCCCCCTCCCCATAGACAGGCCCTGTTACAGGTGGGTGGTCCAGTGCCCCCTCCAGGTAGACTGGCCCCATTACAGATGGATGGTCCAGTGCCCCCTCAACATAGACAAGCCCTGTTACAGGTGGCTGGTCCAGTGCCCCCTCCACATAGACATGCCAAATTACAGGTGTCCAATTACGTGGTGGGTGGTCCAGTGCCCCCTCCACATAGACAGGCTCCTTTACAGGTGGATGGTCCAGTGCCCCCTCCACATAGACTGGCCCCGTTACAGGTGGGTGGTCCAGTGCCCCCTCCACATAGACTGGCCCTGTTACAGGTGGCTGGTCCAGTGCCCCCTCAACATAGACAGGCCCCGTTACAGGTGGGTGGTCCAGTGCCCCCTCCCCATAGACAGGCCCTGTTACAGGTGGGTGGTCCAGTGCCCCATCAACATAGACATGCCAAATTACAGATGGATGGTCCAGTGCCCCCTCAACATAGACAAGCCCTGTTACAGGTGGCTGGTCCAGTGCCCCCTCCACATAGACATGCCAAATTACAGGTGTCCAATTACGTGGTGGGTGGTCCAGTGCCCCCTCCACATAGACCGGCCCTGTTACAGGTGGATGGTCCAGTGCCCCCTCCTCATAGACCGGCCCTGTTACAGGTGGGTGGTCCAGTGCCCCCTCAACATTGACATGCACCTTTACAGGTGGGTGGTCCAGTGCTCCCTCCACATAAACAGGCCCCATTACCGGTGGGTGGTCCAGTGCCCCCTCCCCATAGACAAGCACCGTTTCAGGTGAATGGTCCAGTGACCCCTCAACACAGACCGGCCCTGTTACAGGTGGGTGGTCCAGTGCCCCCTCCACATAGACTGGCCCTGTTACAGGTGGGTGGTCCAGTGCCCCCTCCCCATAGACAGGCCCCGTTACAGGTGGGTGGTCCAGTGCCCCCTCCACATAGACTGGCCCTGTTACAGGTGGGTGGTCCAGTGCCCCCTCAACATAGACAGGCCCCGTTACAGGTGGGTGGTCCAGTGCCCCCTCCACATAGACTGGCCCCGTTACAGGTGGGTGGTCCAGTGCCCCCTCAACATAGACAAGCCCCGTTACAGGTGGGTGGTCCAGTGCCCCCTCCACATAGACTGGCCCCGTTACAGGTGGGTGGTCCAGTGCCCCCTCAACATAGACAGGCCCCGTTACAGGTGGATGGTCCAGTGCCCCCTTCACATAGACAAGCCCTGTTACAGGTGGGTGGTCCAGTGCCCCCTCAACATAGACTGGCCCTGTTACAGGTGGGTGGTCCAGTGCCCCCTCAACATAGACAAGCCCCGTTACAGGTGGGTGGTCCAGTGCCCCCTCCACATAGACTGGCCCCGTTACAGGTCGGTGGTCCAGTGCCCCCTCAACATAGACAAGCCCTGTTACAGGTGGGTGGTCCAGTGCCCCCTCAACATAGACAGGCCCCGTTACAGGTGGGTGGTCCAGTGCCCCCTTCACATAGACAAGCCCCGTTACAGGTGGGTGGTCCAGTGCCCCCTTCACATAGACAAGCCCTGTTACAGGTGGATGGTCCAGTGCCCCATCAACATAGACATGCCAAATTACAGGTGTCCAATTACGTGGTGGGTGGTCCAGTGCCCCCTCAACATAGACAAGCCCTGTTACAGGTGGGTGGTCCAGTGCCCCCTCCACATAGACAGGCCCCGTTACAGGTGGGTGGTCCAGTGCCCCCTCCACATAGACTGGCCCCGTTACAGGTGGGTGGTCCAGTGCCCCATCAACATAGACATGCCAAATTACAGGTGTCCAATTACGTGGTGGGTGGTCCAGTGCCCCCTCAACATAGACAGGCCCCGTTACAGGTGGGTGGTCCAGTGCCCCCTCCCCATAGACTGGCCCCATTACAGGTGGATGGTCCAGTGCCCCCTCAACATAGACAAGCCCTGTTACAGGTGGGTGGTCCAGTGCCCCCTCCACATAGACTGGCCCCGTTACAGGTGGGTGGTCCAGTGCCCCCTCCACATAGACTGGCCCCGTTACAGGTGGCTGGTCCAGTGCCCCCTCCACATAGACAGGCTCCTTTACAGGTGGGTGGTCCAGTGCCCCCTCCACATAGACTGGCCCCGTTACAGGTGGGTGGTCCAGTGCCCCCTTCACATAGACAAGCCCTGTTACAGGTGGGTGGTCCAGTGCCCCCTCCACATAGACATGCCCCGTTACAGGTGGGTGGTCCAGTGCCCCCTCCACATAGACAGGCCCCGTTACAGGTGGGTGGTCCAGTGCCCCCTCCACATAGACATGCCAAATTACAGGTGTCCAATTACGTGGTGGGTGGTCCAGTGCCCCCTCCACATAGACAGGCTCCTTTACAGGTGGATGGTCCAGTGCCCCCTCCACATAGACTGGCCCCGTTACAGGTGGGTGGTCCAGTGCCCCCTCCACATAGACTGGCCCTGTTACAGGTGGCTGGTCCAGTGCCCCCTCAACATAGACAGGCCCCGTTACAGGTGGGTGGTCCAGTGCCCCCTCCCCATAGACAGGCCCTGTTACAGGTGGGTGGTCCAGTGCCCCCTCCAGGTAGACTGGCCCCATTACAGATGGATGGTCCAGTGCCCCCTCAACATAGACAAGCCCTGTTACAGGTGGCTGGTCCAGTGCCCCCTCCACATAGACATGCCAAATTACAGGTGTCCAATTACGTGGTGGGTGGTCCAGTGCCCCCTCCACATAGACAGGCTCCTTTACAGGTGGATGGTCCAGTGCCCCCTCCACATAGACTGGCCCCGTTACAGGTGGGTGGTCCAGTGCCCCCTCCACATAGACTGGCCCTGTTACAGGTGGCTGGTCCAGTGCCCCCTCAACATAGACAGGCCCCGTTACAGGTGGGTGGTCCAGTGCCCCCTCCCCATAGACAGGCCCTGTTACAGGTGGGTGGTCCAGTGCCCCCTCCAGGTAGACTGGCCCCATTACAGATGGATGGTCCAGTGCCCCCTCAACATAGACAAGCCCTGTTACAGGTGGCTGGTCCAGTGCCCCCTCCACATAGACATGCCAAATTACAGGTGTCCAATTACGTGGTGGGTGGTCCAGTGCCCCCTCCACATAGACCGGCCCTGTTACAGGTGGATGGTCCAGTGCCCCCTCCTCATAGACCGGCCCTGTTACAGGTGGGTGGTCCAGTGCCCCCTCAACATTGACATGCACCTTTACAGGTGGGTGGTCCAGTGCTCCCTCCACATAAACAGGCCCCATTACCGGTGGGTGGTCCAGTGCCCCCTCCCCATAGACAAGCACCGTTTCAGGTGAATGGTCCAGTGACCCCTCAACACAGACCGGCCTTGTTACAGGTGGGTGGTCCAGTGCCCCCTCCACATAGACTGGCCCTGTTACAGGTGGGTGGTCCAGTGCCCCCTCCCCATAGACAGGCCCCGTTACAGGTGGGTGGTCCAGTGCCCCCTCAACATAGACAGGCCCCGTTACAGGTGGATGGTCCAGTGCCCCCTCCACATAGACTGGCCCTGTTACAGGTGGGTGGTCCAGTGCCCCCTCCACATAGACAGGCCCCGTTACAGGTGGGTGGTCCAGTGCCCCCTCAACATAGACAAGCACCGTTTCAGGTGGATGGTCCAGTGCCCCCTCCACATAGACTGGCCCTGTTACAGGTTGGTGGTCCAGTGCCCCCTTCACATAGACCGGCCCTGTTACAGGTGGGTGGTCCAGTGCCCCCTCCACAAAGACTGGCCCTGTTACAGGTGGGTGGTCCAGTGCCCCCTCAATATAGACAAGCACCGTTTCAGGTGGATGGTCCAGTGCCCCCTTCACATAGACAGGCCCCGTTACAGGTGGGTGGTCCAGTGCCCCCTCAACATGGACTCGCCCCGTTACGGGTGGGTGGTCCAGTGCCCGCCCCACATGGACTCGCCCTATTACAGGTGGGTGGTCCAGTGCCCCCTCAACATGGACTCGCCCTATTACAGGTGAAATGTTTATTGTATTAGAAATGGCAACCAGTAAGAGTGCAGTTCATATAACCAGAGGTTTGCTTGTGGCAGGTTTTAAGCAAGTCCAACACATGGAGTTACATCCCTTTAGAGGAGGCCAACCATGGGGCTGAAGTCAAACAGGACCTTCGACTGAGAACTGCAGCTGCCCACTATAGAGTCACCTCAGAGCACTTTACAGGAGCGACCTTCACCCCAGAGGCTGACCCTGACCTTACTTCCAACAGGATGACAACCAAGGTCGAGAGGTCGGCTGGCAGGATGCCAAGGCAGAGTGGGGCAATGACTGGCCAGGTTGTGCATACGACTCGACGTCACACTGAATTATTTAAGAGAGCTCCACCAATGAGGACTCCTCCCTCCATTCCAACACCCTTCAACCCCTATGGTGGCCGATCCCCGCGGGGACAACAACTGTTCAACAAGGAGCTGGAGAATCATGCTCGCAAAGCCAGAAGTCCCCGGCACTACATGGAGCATGGTGAGACTGAAGCTTAGTGAATACAGTGTCATACTTAACTCTGTGTTGTGAATACAGACCTTCACTTAACTCTGTGTAGTGAATACAGACCTATACTTAACTCTGTGTTGTGAATACAGACCTCCACTTAACTCTTTGTAGTGAATACAGACCTATGCTTAACTCTGTGTTGTGAATACAGACCTCCACTTAACACTTTGTAGTGAATACAGACCTATGCTTTACTCTGTGTTGCAAATACAGACCTCCACTTAACTGTTTGTAGTGAATACAGACCTATACTTAACTCTGTGTTGTGAATACAGACCTCCACTTAACTCTTTGTTGGGAATACAGGTTTATGCTTAACTCTGTGTCATGAATACAGACCACCACTTAACTCTGTGTCATGAATAGAGACCTTCACTTAACTTTGTGTCGTGAATACAGAACTATACGTAACTCTGTGTCATGAATACAGACCTATGCTTAACTCTATGTTGTGAATACAGACCTCCACTTAACTCTTTGTAGTGAATACAGACCTATGCTTTACTCTGTGTTGCAAATACAGACCTCCACTTAACTGTTTGTAGTGAATACAGACCTATACTTAACTCTGTGTTGTGAATACAGACCTCCACTTAACTCTTTGTTGGGAATACAGGTTTATGCTTAACTCTGTGTCATGAATACAGACCACCACTTAACTCTGTGTCATGAATAGAGACCTTCACTTAACTTTGTGTCGTGAATACAGAACTATACGTAACTCTGTGTCATGAATACAGACCTATGCTTAACTCTATGTTGTGAATACAGACCTCCACTTAACTCTTTGTAGTGAATACAGACCTCCACTTAACTCTGTTATGAATACAGACCAATACTTAACTCTTTGTAGTGAATACAGACCTAAACTTAACTCTTTGAAGTGAATACAGACCTATACTTAACTCTTTGTAGTGAATACAGACTTATACGTAACTCTGTGTCATGAATACAGACCTATGCTTAACTTTGTGTCGTGAATAAAGACCTTCACTTAACTCTTTGTAGTGAATACAGACCTATACTTAACTCTTTGTTATGAATACAGTGTTATACTTAACTCTGTCTTGTGAATACAGACCTTTACTTAACTCTTTGTAGTGAACACAGACCTCCACTTAACTCTGTGTTGTGAATACAGACCTTCACTTAACTCTGTGTCGTAAACACAGACCTATGCTTAACTCTTTGTAGTGAATACAGACCTATACTTAACTCTTTGTAGTGAATACAGACCTATACTTGACTCTGTGTAGTGAATACAGACCTATACTTGACTGTGTAGTCAGTACAGACCTATACTTAACTCTGTGTAGTGAATACATACCTATACTTGACTCTGTGTAGTGAATACAGACCTATACTTAACTCTGTGTAGTGAATACAGACCTATACTTGACTCTGTGTAGTGAATACAGACCTATACTTGACTCTGTGTAGTGAATACAGACCTATACTTGACTGTGTAGTCAGTACAGACCTATACTTGACTCTGTGTAGTGAATACAGACCTATACTTGACTCTGTGTAGTGAATACAGACCTATACTTGACTGTGTAGTCAGTACAGACCTATACTTGACTCTGGGTAGTCAGTACAGACCTATACTTGACTGTGTAGTGAATACAGACCTATACTTGACTCTGGGTAGTCAGTACAGACCTATACTTGACTGTGTAGTCAGTACAGACCTATACTTGACTCTGTGTAGTGAATACAGACCTATACTTGACTCTGTGTAGTGAATACAGACCTATACTTGACTCTGTGTAGTGAATACAGACCTATACTTGACTCTGGGTAGTCAGTACAGACCTATACTTGACTCTGGGTAGTCAGTACAGACCTATACTTGACTGTGTAGTCAGTACAGACCTATACTTGACTCTGTGTAGTGAATACAGACCTATACTTGACTCTGTGTAGTGAATACAGACCTATACTTGACTCTGTGTAGTGAATACAGACCTATACTTGACTCTGGGTAGTCAGTACAGACCTATACTTGACTCTGGGTAGTCAGTACAGACCTATACTTGACTCTGGGTAGTGAGTACAGACCTATACTTGACTGTGTAGTCAGTACAGACCTATACTTGACTCTGTGTAGTCAGTACAGACCTATACTTGACTCTGGGTAGTCAGTACAGACCTATACTTGACTGTGTAGTGAATACAGACCTATACTTGACTCTGTGTAGTCAGTACAGACCTATACTTGACTGTGTAGTCAGTACAGACCTATACTTGACTCTGTGTAGTGAATACAGACCTATACTTGACTCTGTGTAGTGAATACAGACCTATACTTGACTCTGTGTAGTCAGTACAGACCTATACTTGACTCTGTGTAGTGAATACAGACCTATACTTGACTCTGTGTAGTGAATACAGACCTATACTTGACTCTGTGTAGTGAATACAGACCGATACTTGACTGTGTAGTCAGTACAGACCTATACTTGACTCTGGGTAGTCAGTACAGACCTATACTTGACTGTGTAGTCAGTACAGACCTATACTTGACTCTGGGTAGTCAGTACAGACCTATACTTGACTGTGTAGTCAGTACACACCTATACTTGACTCTGTGTAGTGAATACAGACCTATACTTGACTCTGTGTAGTGAATACAGACCTATACTTGACTCTGTGTAGTGAATACAGACCTATACTTGACTGTGTAGTCAGTACAGACCTATACTTGACTCTGTGTAGTGAATACAGACCTATACTTGACTCTGTGTAGTGAATACAGACCTATACTTGACTCTGTGTAGTGAATACAGACCTATACTTGACTCTGTGTAGTGAATACAGACCTATACTTGACTCTGGGTAGTCAGTACAGACCTATACTTGACTGTGTAGTCAGTACAGACCTATACTTGACTCTGGGTAGTCAGTACAGACCTATACTTGACTGTGTAGTCAGTACACACCTATACTTGACTCTGTGTAGTGAATACAGACCTATACTTGACTCTGTGTAGTGAATACAGACCTATACTTGACTCTGTGTAGTGAATACAGACCTATACTTGACTGTGTAGTCAGTACAGACCTATACTTGACTCTGGGTAGTCAGTACAGACCTATACTTGACTCTGTGTAGTGAATACAGACCTATACTTGACTCTGTGTAGTGAATACAGACCTATACTTGACTCTGTGTAGTGAATACAGACCTATACTTGAATCTGGGTAGTGAATACAGACCTATACTTGACTCTGTGTAGTGAATACAGACCTATACTTGACTCTGTGTAGTGAATACAGACCTATACTTGACTCTGTGTAGTCAGTACAGACCTATACTTGACTCTGTGTAGTGAATACAGACCTATACTTGACTCTGGGTAGTCAGTACAGACCTATACTTGACTCTGTGTAGTCAGTACAGACCTATACTTGACTGTGTAGTCAGTACATACCTATACTTGACTCTGTGTAGTGAATACAGACCTATACTTGACTCTGTGTAGTGAATACAGACCTATACTTGACTGTGTAGTCAGTCAGTACAGACCTCTACTTAACTCTGTGCAGTGAATGTTGCTGTAACAATTAATGTATATTCCAAAACTTCTGACTGTTTGCAGTTTGAAGCTTGTGTTCTTTGATATTCTTGCTGTCCTAAACTAATGGAAACCTAAAAAGGATCACTTCAAAAAATGGCAAACTATTTTAACAAATGAATATCACCATATTTACTGCGTCGTACACACACAAAACATCCTGCCAAACACACAACTCAACATTTACTGCCTGTTCCTTTATTTCTTATCTTGGTGTATTCTTTGCATTGGTGGTCTCCCCTTAAATGGGTGGTCTCCCCTTGTATAGGTGGTCTCTGCTTGTATGGGTCGTCTCCCCTTGTATAGGTGGTCTCCACTTGTATAGGTTGTCTCCCCTTGTATGGGTGGTCTCCGCTTGTATGGGTGGTCTCCGCTTGTATGGGTGGTCTCCCCTTGTATAGGTGGTCTCGGCTTGTGTAGGTGGTCTCCCCTTGTATAGGTGGTCTCCCCTTATATAGGTGGTCTCCCCTTGTATGGGTCGTCTCCCCTTGTATAGGTGGTCTCCCCTTGTATAGGTGGTCTCCACTTGTATAGGTTGTCTCCCCTTGTATAGGTGGTCTCCGCTTGTATGGGTGGTCTTCCCTTGTATGGGTGGTCTCCCCTTGTATGGGTGGTCTCCGCTTGAATGGGTGGTCTCCCCTTGTATAGGTGGTCTCCCCTTGTATGGGTGGTCTCCCCTTGTATAGGTGGTCTCCTCTTGTATGGGTGGTCTCCCCTTGTATGGGTCGTCTTCCCTTGTATAGGTGGTCTCCCCTTGTATGGGTGGTCTCCCCTTGTATGGGTGGTCTCCCCTTGTGTAGGTGGTCTCCCCTTGTGTGGGTCGTCTAGCCTTGTATAGGTGGTATCCCCTTGTATAGGTCGTCTCCCCTTGTATGGGTGGTCTCCGGTTGTATGGGTCGTCTCCGCTTGTATGGGTGGTCTCCCCTTGTATAGGTGGTCTACGCTTGTATGGGTGGTCTCCCCTTGTATAGGTGGTCTCCCCTTGTATGGGTTGTCTCCCCTTGTATAGGTGGTCTCGGCTTGTATGAGTGGTCTCCCCTTGTATAGGTGGTCTCCCCTTGTATCGGTCGTCTTCCCTTGTATGGGTCGTCTCCCCTTGTATAGGTAGTCTCCGCTTGTATGGGTGTTCTCCCCTTGAATTGGTGGTCTCCCCTTATATGGGTCGTCTCCCCTTGTATGGGTTGTCTTCCCTTGTATAGGTCGTCTCCCCTTGTATAGGTGGTCTCCCCTTGTATGGGCGGTCTCCCCTTGTATGGGTGGTCTCCCATTTATTGGTGGTCTCCCCTTGTATAGGTGGTCTCCCCTTGTATGGGTTGTCTTTCCTTGTATAGGTGGTCTCCCCTTGTATGGGTGGTCTCCCCTTGTATAGGTGGTCTCCCCTTCTATGGGTGGTCTCCCCTTGTATGGGTGGTCTCCGCTTGTATGGGTGGTCTCCCCTTGAATGGGTGTTTTCCCCTTGTATGGGTCGTCTTCCCTTGTATAGGTGGTCTCCGCTTGTATGGGTGGTCTCCCCTTGTATAGTTGGTCTCCCCTTGTGTAGGTGGTCTCCCTTCTATTGGTGGTCTCCCTTGTATGGGTGGTCTCCCCTTCTCTCCCTGTGAGAGTGTTGTCTCTATCTCACTAACCTCAGCTGCTTATCTCTCCTTGCTTTGTTTCCCTCTCAGACTTTCAGGACTATCACAGACCGAAGGCTGAGCAAGGTAAGTGGCGCTTGTAGACTCAGACAGTGTTTCCATGTTGTTGGAGAGAAGAAAAAGTGATACGCAACTGACTTAGAGTAGATTAACATTTATGTACATTCCACAATACATTTATAGAAAAGTTATGCGCTTATGCGTCTGTGAGTATGCAGTGTGAGTGTCTGTGAGTATGCAGTGTGAGTGTCTGTGAGTATGCAGTGTGCATGTCTATGAGTATGCAGTGTGAGTGTCTATGAGTATGCAGTGTGAGTGTATGCGAGTATGCAGTTAGCATGTCTATGAGTATGCAGTGTGAATGTCTCTGAGTATGCAGTGTGCATGTCTATGAGTATGCAGTGTGAGTGTCTATGAGTATGCAGTGTGCGTGTCTCTGAGTATGCAGTGTGCGTGTCTATGAGTATGCAGTGTGCATGTCTATGAGTATGCAGTGTGCGTGTCTATGAGTATGCAGTGTGCATATCTATGAGTATGCAGTGTGAGTGTCTGTGAGTATGCAGTGAGCGTGTCTGTGAGTATGCAGTGTGCGTGTCTATGAGTATGCAGTGAGCGTGTCTGTGAGTATGCAGTGTGAGTGTCTGTGAGTATGCAGTGTGAGTGTCTGTGAGTATGCAGTGTGAGTGTCTATGAGTATGCAGTGTGAGTGTCTATGAGTATGCAGTGTGCATGTCTTTGAGTATGCAGTGTGCATGTCTTTGAGTATGCAGTGTGAGTGTCTATGAGTATGCAGTGTGCATGTCTATGAGTATGCAGTGTGAGTGTCTATGAGTATGCAGTGTGCATGTCTGTGAGTATGCAGTGTGCATATCTATGAGTATGCAGTGTGAGTGTCTGTGAGTATGCAGTGTGCATGTCTATGAGTATGCAGTGTGCATGTCTGTGAGTATGCAGTGTGAGTGTCTGTGAGTATGCAGTGTGCATGTCTGTGAGTATGCAGTGTGCATGTATTGGTATATATTGTATATGTAGGAATACATTATTTGTTTCAGTGCATGACCTTCGTTCTGCACCGCCAAGGTCCGCGCCACCAGTTCTGTCCACGGCTCCGGAGAGTCGGCTCGGAGAAACACTGCATGTGTGCCGCCTCCCTTCACGGGAAAAGACTCTTCCCTTCAAAACTGAGGATGAAGTTGGTGAGTTAGATGAGTTATGTCAGCTGTATCCAAGTTTTGGATGATCAATATGTACAATGAGAACAGGCTGCATAGTAAATAATAATGACACAGGGCTGTATAGGAACTAAGGAGATGACACAAGGCTGTATAGGAACTATAGAGATGACACAGGGCTGTATGGGAACTAAGGAGATGACACAGGGCTGTATAGGAACTAAGGAGATGACACAGGGCTTTATGGGAACTAAGGAGATGACACAGGGCTGTATAGGAACTGAGATGACACAGGTCTGTATAGGAACTAAGGAGATGACACAGGTCTGTATAGGAACTAATGAGATGACACAGGGCTGTACAGGAACTATAGAGATGACACAGGGCTGTATAGGAACTATAGAGATGACACAGGGCTTTATGGGAACTAAGGAGATGACACAGGGCTGTATAGGAACTGAGATGACACAGGGCTGTATAGGAACTAAGGAGATGACACAGGTCTGTATAGGAACGAAGGAGATGACACAGGGCTGTACAGGAACTAAGGAGATGACACAGGGCTGTATGGGAACTAAGGAGATGACACAGAGCTGTATAGAAACTAAGGAGATGACACAGGGCTGTATAGAAACTAATGAGATGACACAGGGCCGTATAGGAACTAATGAGATGACACAGGGCCGTATAGGAACTAATGAGATGACGCAGGGCTGTATGGGAACTAAGGAGATGACACAGGGCTATCTGGGAACTAATGAGATGACACAGGGCTGTATAGGAACTAATGCAATGACACAGGGCTGCATAGCAATGAATAAGATGACACAGGGCTGTATAGAAACTAATGAGATGACACAGGGCTGTATAGAAACTAATGAGATGACACAGGGCTGTATAGAAACTATTGAGATGACACAGGGCTGTATAGGAACTAATGAGATGACACAGGGCTGTATAGAAACTAAGGAGATGACACAGGGCTGTATAGGAACTAAGGAGATGACACAGGTCTGTATGGGAACTAAGGAGATGACACAGGGCTGTATAGGAACTAAGGAGATGACACAGGGCTGTATAGGAACTATAGAGATGACACAGGGCTGTATGGGAACTAAGGAGATGACACAGGGCTGTATAGGAACTAAGGAGATGACACAGGGCTTTATGGGAACTAAGGAGATGACACAGGGCTGTATAGGAACTGAGATGACACAGGTCTGTATAGGAACTAAGGAGATGACACAGGTCTGTATAGGAACGAAGGAGATGACACAGGGCTGTATAGGAACTAAGGAGATGACACAGAGCTGTATAGAAACTAAGGAGATGACACAGGGCTGTATAGAAACTAATGAGATGACACAGGGCCGTATAGGAACTAAGGAGATGACACAGGGCTTTATGGGAACTAAGGAGATGACACAGGGCTGTATAGAAACTAATGAGATGACACAGGGCTGTATAGAAACTAATGAGATGACACAGGGCTGTATAGGAACTAAGGAGATGACACAGGGCTTTATGGGAACTAAGGAGATGACACAGGGCTGTATAGGAACTGAGATGACACAGGTCTGTATAGGAACTAAGGAGATGACACAGGTCTGTATAGGAACGAAGGAGATGACACAGGGCTGTATAGGAACTAAGGAGATGACACAGGGCTGTATAGAAACTAATGAGATGACACAGGGCCGTATAGGAACTAATGAGATGACACAGGTCTGAATAGGAACTAAGGAGATGACACAGGGCTGTATGGGAACTAAGGAGATGACACAGGGCTGTCTGGGAACTAATGAGATGACACAGGGCTGTATAGGAACTAATGCAATGACACAGGGCTGCATAGCAATGAATAAGATGACACAGGTCTGTATAGGAACTAATGAGATGACACAGGGCTGTATAGAAACTAAGGAGATGACACAGGGCTGTATGGGAACTAATGAGATGACACAGGGCTGTATAGAAACTATTGAGATGACACAGGGCTGTATAGGAACTAATGAGATGACACAGGGCTGTATAGAAACTAAGGAGATGACACAGGGCTGTATAGGAACTAAGGAGATGACACAGGTCTGTATGGGAACTAAGGAGATGACACAGGGCTGTATAGGAACTAAGGAGATGGCACAGGGCTGTATAGGAACTAAGGATATGACACAAGGCTGTATAGGAACTAAGGAGATGACACAGGGCTGTATAGGAACTAAGGAGATGACACAGGGCTGTATGGGAACCAAGGAGATGACACAGGGCTGTATAGGAACTAAGGAGATGACACAGGGCTTTATGGGAACTAAGGAGATGACACAGGACTGTATAGGAACTGAGATGACACAGGTCTGTATAGGAACTAATGAGATGACACAGGGCTTTATGGGAACTAAGGAGATGACACAGGGCTGTATAGGAACTGAGATGACACAGGTCTGTATAGGAACTAAGGAGATGACACAGATCTGTATAGGAACTAAGGAGATGACACAGGGCTGTACAGGAACTAAAGAGATGACACAGGTCTGTATAGGAACTAAGGAGATGACACAGGGCTGTATAGAAACTATGGAGATGACACAGGGCTGTATAGAAACTAAGGAGATGACACAGGTCTGTATAGGAACTAATGAGATGACACAGGGCTGTATGGGAACTAAGGAGATGACACAGGTCTGTATAGGAACTAAGGAGATGACACAGGTCTGTATAGGAACTAAGGAGATGACACAGGGCTGTATAGGAACTAATGCAATGACACAGGGCTGTATGGGAACTAAGGAGATGACGCAGGGCTGTATAGGAACTAAGGAGATGTCACAGGGCTGTCTGGGAACTAATGAGATGACACAGGGCTGTATAGGAACTAATGCAATGACACAGGGCTGCATAGCAATGAATAAGATGACACAGGGCTGTATAGAAACTAATGAGATGACACAGGGCTGTATAGAAACTAAGGAGATGACACAGGGCTGTATGGGAACTAATGAGATGACACAGGGCTGTATAGAAACTAATGTGATGACACAGGGCCGTATAGGAACTAATGAGATGACACAGGGCTGTATAGAAACTAAGGAGATGACACAGGGCTGTATAGGAACTTAGGAGATGGCACAGGTCTGTATGGGAACTAAGGAGATGACACAGGGCTGTCTGGGAACTAAGGAGATGACACAGGGCTGTATAGTAACTAATGAGATGACACAGGGCTGCATAGCAATGAATAAGATGACACATGGCTGTATAGGAACTAAGGAGATGACACAGGGCTGTATGGGAACTAATGAGATGACACAGGGCTGTATAGAAACTAAGGAGATGACACAGGGCTGTATAGAAACTATTGAGATGACACAGGTCTGTATAGGAACTAATGAGATGACACAGGGCTGTATAGAAACTAAGGAGATGACACAGGGCTGTATAGGAACTAAGGAGATGACACAGGTCTGTATGGGAACTAAGGAGATGACACAGGGCTGTATAGGAACTAAGGAGATGACACAGGGCTGTATAGGAACTAAGGATATGACACAAGGCTGTATAGGAACTATGGAGATGACACAGGGCTGTATAGAAACTATGGAGATGACACAGGGCTGTATAGGAACTAAGGATATGACACAAGGCTGTATGGGAACTAAGGAGATGACACAGGGCTGTATAGAAACTAAGGAGATGACACAGGGCTGTATAGGAACTAAGGAGATGACACAGGGCTGTATAGGAACTAAGGAGATGACACAGGGCTTTATGGGAACTAAGGAGATGACACAGGGCTGTATAGGAACTAAGGAGATGACACAGGGCTGTACAGGAACTATAGAGATGACACAGGGCTGTATGGGAACTAAGGAGATGACACAGGGCTGTATAGAAACTAAGGAGATGACACAGGGCTTTATGGGAACTAAGGAGATGACACAGGGCTGTACAGGAACTATAGAGATGACACAGGGCTGTACAGGAACTAATGAGATGACACAGGGCTGTATGGGAACTATAGAGATGACACAGGGCTGTATAGGAACTAAGGAGATGACACAGGGCTTTATGGGAACTAAGGAGATGACACAGGGCTGTATAGGAACTGAGATGACACAGGTCTGTATAGGAACTAAGGAGATGACACAGGGCTTTATGGGAACTAAGGAGATGACACAGGGCTGTATAGGAACTGAGATGACACAGGTCTGTATAGGAACTAAGGAGATGACACAGATCTGTATAGGAACTAAGGATATGACACAGGGCTGTACAGGAACTAAGGATATGACACAGGGCTGTATAGGAACTAAGGAGATGACACAGGGCTGTATGGGAACTAAGGAGATGACACAAGGCTGTATAGGAACTATAGAGATGACACAGGGCTGTATGGGAACTAAAGAGATGACACAGGGCTGTATAGAAACTAAGGAGATGACACAGATCTGTATAGGAACTAAGGAGATGACACAGATCTGTATAGGAACTAAGGATATGACACAGGGCTGTACAGGAACTAAGGATATGACACAGGGCTGTATAGGAACTAAGGAGATGACACAGGGCTGTATAGGAACTAATGAGATGACACAAGGCTGTATAGGAACTAAGGAGATGACACAGGGCTGTATAGGAACTAATGAGATGACACAGGGCTGTATAGGAACTAATGAGATGACACAGGTCTGTATAGGAACTAATAAGATGACACAGGGCTGTATAGGAACTAATGAGATGACACAGGTCTGTATAGGAACTAAGGAGATGACACAGGGCTGTATGGGAACTAAGGAGATGACACAGGGCTGTATAGAAACTATGGAGATGACACAGGGCTGTATAGAAACTAAGGAGATGACAAGGCTGTATAGGAACTAAGGAGATGACACAGGGCTGTATGGGAACTAATGAGATGACACAGGGCTGTATAGGAACTAAGGAGATGACACAGGGCTGTATAGGAACTAAGGAGATGACACAGGGCTGTATAGGAACTAATGAGATGACACAGGGCTGTATAGGAA